CACAAGTTGTTGGAGAGTAGGTTTAGATTAGACATCCATAAGAACTACTCCACAGTTAGGGCGGCTAGGATCTGGAACCAACTTCCAAGGGAAGTGGTGCTGGCTCCTACACTGGGGGTCTTTAAGAGGAGGCTTGATGCCTACATAGCTGGGATCATTTGAGCCCCGTTTTTTCTCCTGCTCAGGCAGGGGGTCGGACTTGAAGATCTATAAGGTCCCTTCCGACCCTACTTCTATGATTCTATGATAATTAGGGGTGGACTGAACTCAAGGAAGTGGCCAACTGATTTTGTGAGCAGATCCCAGGGCCAGGCGCCATTTTTGTGGGCTGAGTGCAGTGGGGTCCCCTACACTTCTGATTGGCCAAGGGCAACGGCAGTCCCACCCCTCCTTGCAGATTGCCACATGGCTCAAAACCATGGCTTAATTACCTTAATTAAGGTAATTAAAGCTGCAGTTTTGGGCCATCACCAAGCAGCTGGCTTTGTGTTTTTGGTGGGTTTGCTCAAAAAATCCAAAAACCCCAACCACAAATGAAAAACCACACCAAACCAAACCTTACTGGCAAGCAGAGAAAAGCACATGGGAAGCCCTGCAGTCTTGGAGCAAGAGGGGGAAGGAGGGCTGCTGTGACCAGCCTCTCCCCGCTCCCCTCCTTCCTGCCCCCTGCCTCCCTCCTCATGCTCCAAGACTGCAGAGCTGCCTGCATACTTTTCTCTGTTTACCTGTAAGTTTGTTTTTTTCTTTTCCGCCCCCTTAGTGAGCCTATGCTTTTTCATGGAGCCCACCCAAAATCAGCTTCCATGAAAATCATGCATTTGCAATTTCGGTTAGTCCCCATTCATAATGTACCATTAGAAAACTGAAGTCCTGAAAAGCAGGGGGTTGTATTTCGAAAGTTAAAAAAAACAGGGTATTGTTTCTTTGAGCTATACGTGAATGTGGGGAAAACAGTGGTTAGGCTGGCATACAGGGATATTTTTTGCTTTTCCAGTTGTGGTCAGGAAAATAAGGACAAGCTCATCCCCAGGCAACCCTGGGTGTACTCTTGAAGATACCATTTCAGATTTAAAAATCATGCAATTTCAGCGTTATTCATTTGGATTCTCTCTTCAATTCTACTGTACCCGCAAGGGATTTTGTGCATATTGGAATCCAAATGACTATATAAATGTGGTGGAGAGAAGTTGCTGGCAGGAAGGTAGAGAGTAGAAGGTGATGTGGTCAGAATCAAAAGTGTTTATAATGCTATAAACATGTTTATATTCAAGATTTTACTTTTAGTATCTACAAATTTCTAACACTTTTATTTGCTATTTACAATACTAATTGTACCTTAACATTTTCAATTATGAGGACTTTTCTAACAAGTTCGAGAAAGCTTCTGAAAAAGTGCATTAGAAAATACATTTTTTAAATACCCCAAATTTCATTTCTTAATAAATCTCTTTATAGGAAAATATAATTAAAATATTCCATACCTTTGATTCTTTTGACTTTTTCTTCTTGTTTTTGTTTTTAACTTTGATACCATTAGTCTAAAAACAGAAAAACAGAAGTCAACAGTTAATGCTGTGCATTAATGTACAATTACAATCTGTTTCCAATATGTCTACATAAACATGTAGTGCACTTCAATTTAAAAAGTATCCTTTTGGTTGAAATAACAGCATGATTTGCAAGATATGGCATGCACCATGCTTTTTCACAGATGGAAACTGTTGGGGGTAGGGGGAAGAGGGAGGGTGGCAACACACGGAGAGAACTTCCTATTTCAACAGCTCTACTCACAAGTTTCCCAAGTTTCCTTCACCCTCTACTTCCATTCCAAGGAACACTGGTTTTGAAACAGGGGCAGGTGTTAAATTAATGGTGCGACTGGGATCTGAGGAATTTTGTGCTGCATCCCACTACCTGCAGATCCCCCAGACAGACTTTCTGAATAACTGGCTACAAGGAGACACTCTCTCCTCAGGATTAGGTAAGATCTATGCATGGTTTTTTGTTGACTTCTTGGGATATTATGTTGCATTTTAAGTTAGGCCAAGTTGCGTGTGCTGTCACTGCGCCTGACTGGGCTGTCTCAGCCAAGACAGGGTTTTTCTGTTGTTCTTTACTGCATACTTGAAATTACAAATTAATGTGCTCAATAAATGCTCTCTTCAGGGAATGGCCTGTTCTTGTTCAAACATTCATGAATTCAGTGCCACTACCTAAAGTCTAATACTCAGTTTAGAAACATAGGGCTGATGCTGACAATCAGCTGATTGTTGACATCTCTGGGATTGCCCCCGTCTAGAACATGGCACATGCCAAACTTTTAGTTTAAGCTGCCATATAAAGCAGCTTTGTGGGTGTATAATGTAGAAATGGTGCAATTAGCACACTAATCAGGCCATGGATTTCATGTCTGCCAGGGGCCAGACTTTTTTTTTTTTTTTTTTGCTTCCACTGCTTTATTCCCCAATGAAGTAGCACTACTACCTGTGACTTCTGTAAGAACAAGTTGTGACGTTACAAACAACTTCTGCAGAGACAGAGCAAACGTTGGGAATTTTTTTTTATACAAAATATCTTCACTAACATTGAGGTCTTGTATTTACTTATCACATTATCACAACTACCTAAAACCTTATTTCTGCTCCAATATTTTTCTGACGCAAGCATTTGCTCTTTCAGTATATGTATGATTTGAAAGTCCAATTTCCATCAACCCAACTAATTGTGGCAAATTTTGGAGTACCATATTTTTTTGCAATGTGAACAATATGCCAAAAATACAAATCTTCTTATTGCAATGAATTTTGCATTATTCTTAACATTTCTTTACCCTGGAATTGAAAACTATCAAAAGGTTCCACACACCCTACATGCATCAATTACTTCAAAATGGGAATTGTCTATATTTAGTAAACTGTTCAACATACATCAACTAAGATACAATATACATGAATTTTCAACCACAAAAGTTTCAAATACGTGAACACTCAGCCAAATGTGCATCCTATAAATCCAGATAAAGCAGCTACTACTAAAGTTATAAGGTAGTAAGAGAGAAGTGAAATATGGTTCAAAATAATGGACAACTACAGGGGCTATAAATGTTTTTCCAAATCACAGTCCTGCTCAGAAAGCACTTGTAAATATCTCAATGTGCAATTCCAAGTTTATCATCTTACTGAATTCAAAAACAAGCCTGTTTCATTTATTAACAGAAAGAAATCCTTCCTATTGGTAAGCCTACAAACTCAACTTGAGACCATAAACTCAAGCACTTAATATTTTGATGTATAAAATAGGAAAAGTTGTCAGTTACTGCTGGTCATGGTCAGTGTTAGGATTCATCATGCAAAGGCAAGACAGCCCCCACTTCAATACCTGATGCTTACGTGAATATGCAGAATTGGCAGCTGGAAAAAAGGTCATTTTTACTTCTAAGCTGAGCACACTCGCCTAAATTGGTCAATAAAAATTTAGAGGCATTTTCACATTAAAACTATAACACTAATAACAAATACTGTATTTAAAGCTCTATCTAAACCAAATGGTTCCTTTGGTTTACCAAAACAAGAGATTTGCCAAGTTACATTTTTCTCTTCTAAAACCCAAAATGTATTATTACCAAGCTACATCTTTTGTAATGGAGAAAAAAAGCTTAACAGAATTTTATGAGAAATGCAACAGCAGTCCTGAATTATTTTTCTATAGCTTTTTCAATTAACACCTGAATAAGTATTTTTTAAATCCTTAGGATTGCCTTTATTTATATATCAAAGAAATAAAATGTACACAAAAATTTCCCTTCCTACTTTGCAAGTCCCTTTAAACCCCCCCCCCAAAAAAGTGAACAAGCATTTTTCTTCATATGTTTCTACTTCAAAGGTTTTCTGTTGACCACAAATAAAACATTTATTGAAATTTCAATTTTTATTAGAAGATGTAAAGATAACTTACTGAAATATCTTCATTTTCCTGTTTCTTTATTATAACACAAGGATCATCTGTTGAAAGAATATATTAAAATCACTTTCAAGAAAAACACAGCAGCCAAATTATTCATGTTCTATATTGAGGTTTTAAGGGATAATATATTTGCATTTTTAAAATATTTCCTGAAAGTTTTTCTGTATGGTCAAATCTGAGAAGACACATACATGATCACTGGGATTAGTTGGATACTTAAGAAGGCAAGTGTAAGCATTACATTTTGAAGAATTGGGACATATTAAACAACATAGTATAACTTGCCATTCAACAGCCCTTAGAGGCTTAGTAAATTCAAGGATATTGTTGGGGATGGTATATTTTACTAGACCAAATGCATAGTTGTCTAAAATCTCTTCCAAGTTTTTAAGCAAAGTGTTCTTCTTCAAGGCAGCTGAATTCTCAAAATAAAAGAGTGATAGCATTTTATCTTCAGAATAAAATGAAGCCCTTTAAAGTTACTACAAGAAGTGAGAGTTGCAGTTTCTCAACTAATTAAAATCACATTCCTGGACTATATTGCATGGGGGATGTGGCTCTGGTAATAAAACAATGAGCCTATCCTTACTGAATATCTCTGCAGAGTCAGAGGAGCCAGTTGCACACTGCATTTTGTAGGCCCATTTTTTAAATACATTGGGGGAACTTATACATATGCACATTAAAAGATAATCAGCAAGTTTATCACCAGCAATCTAAAGAAATCTATTAAAAGTGATCAAGCCGTAATTTAAAAATACTCCAAAAACAGCACAACATAAAAAAGTGATGCCCAATATTGGTTCCATTTTATTTAGTTAATTCCCAGCGGTACTAGTTGCATCTTTCTTACATGATTCTGTGCCTTTAGACTTTGGTTCAGCCCTTAACATGGAACACAAAATATTCTACACCGAGTTTGTATCTTAAGTGATAGTGTCACCACTTTTCCAAGATAATTCAGGATAACATATGCAGAGTGTAAAAAGGAAGGCAAAATAGGACATAGAGAACAGATAAGCTGTATGCATTTACCCATTATATCAAAGAATACATCTAAAGCGTGGTGCAGAGATGGAAATTTTTCTCGATTATCTTCTAATAGCCATATTACACAACGAGCTTCTTCCAATGCTGCTTCATGGAAATAGTTAAGTATTTCTTTGTCTTCAGTGCTAGTCACAACACACCCTAACTTACGACCATACTTTTCATTCCAGAGACTGGTTATAAAACTAAGGTCAAGCTTTTCAACAAGATGGCCAAAAGAAGAGAAAAAATTCTCTGCAGCTTTCAAACCTGAAATTAAGAGAAAATGAATATTGGGTAAAACCAAAAAAATAAATAAATAAATAAATAAAAAAATTTAAAAAATCAGTAAGTAGTCCAGGTCATTTTAGTGTTGGGCTTGCACTGACATTTTCCACAAAATATTTTGTTCCAAAAACTAAATATAAATGTGCACAGATGAGAGGCATGGGGACTGTAGCTTTGAAATATACAAGCAAACGAAAGAGACCTGTAAGTTATATATTTTTTGTACTATCCAGTTCATAACATCTGTGTCAACTGTTGTGAAGATGTGTACAAGAACCAATTAAAAAACAAAACCAAAAAAAGTTATTTACTCCTGTTCTCTGCAATACTACATTTTACATCTCGTTCTATTATAAAATATGCCCAATATTTTCACTGGATTACAAAGAAAGTGAAACTGTACAGCATTACAAAAAATGTTAAACTGACTTCAAGGTATGGTCAGATAAAAAGAAATTAGTGTTATTCCAGCCTTCAGGAATAAGATCACTAATAAAGGTTTGTTTTTAATATTTAGATCACTCTATATAAAATATTAGGGATGTATAAAGCGGTCTGTATTTGATTCAGATTTAGCCCTATTCAGGGGACAGTCATTTGATTCACTGATTTGGATCACCGTCCCATTTTGATTCGTCTGAATCTGAAGATTCAATGCTGATTTGGAGAATCAGCAATTCAGCTATAGCTTTAAACGTGTTTTCTGCATACCTTGAGGTACCAGGCGCAGCTCGTGAATGCCGAGATCACGAGGCGGATGGAACATCCCACAGGAGCACAGGGTCCCCCATGTGCTCGGCGACAGACCTGGAAGTGGAGCAGAAGTACTTCCCATTCACTTCCAGGTCCGCTACCAAACACGTGGGGGACCCCCCCCACCCCTCCGGCTCAGCCACGAGGGCGAACCTGGGTGCCCCCCCCCGACGCAGGAGGCACCAGTCGCCAAGCGGGGGGGGGGGGGGGGAAAGGGGGGGGGCCC